AAAAAATGGACAGATAGCGAGGGCATTGACCAAATAAAATGATCCCTGTATTGACGCCATGGTTGCTTTGTGTAATCCTTGTGCGCACGCTAAATGGCATTAACAAGAGGGGGCGCGGAAATTGTGTTTGGCCACCTGAAGTGTCAGGCTAAAATAGCAGTTGTAACAAAACCGCTAAATGGGGACACAAAAATATTTACAATATAAAAATATAAATTATAAGAAAACAATGCATAAGATGTACAAGATAAAAATACATAAAGGACATCAAGAAGCACATAATGTGCGCCGAGTGCCCCTTCTTGGATTCTTTCCAATTTTCTTCTGTCACTAGCACAATAAAAAATGCAAGACAAGGTGACAGTGAGTTCAATAGAGTAGATCAAGTTTAGCTTAGTGCTAGTGGGTATTAAGTTCCTCAGTCTCATTCAAACCCCTACACATTGGCTGCCATTCCTGCAAATGGTGTTAAAATGGCCCTTGAATGCGAGATCTTTGTCTATTGATACCCCAAGTAATTTCAGGCAATCAGTGGATTAAACTTCTTCAGTGATAACTCTCTTAGGTTTACTTTATTTTGGGGCTAGAGAGCCCTTATATTGATTGCTTTCCTGCAGACAAAAATCATATTTCAGGTTCTTGGATTACGATGATCTTACATATTACCCCAATTTCCCCTAGAAACTGCATACAAGGAGAGGACCACATTTTTGTAGTGCACACTAAATATGAAAATTATCAGTGAAAATTTGCCAGTAGTTGTGAGAAGATGGGTCTTCCATTTTTTATTTAAAAATATTAATTTGAGATGTTTACTGCTTGACATATTGTTTTCTTGTGTAGTGTAATGTCAAAGTATGCTCACTTCCTGTGGCCACCATTAAAATATTTGCTTGCAAATAGAATTTTTGTTTTCCCCACTTTTACTGGGCCGGAAAAATATTTTGCTCTTTGTAAAATCGGTTAAGATCAGAAAAGAATTATTTTATCAAAGTGGCTATGGGCCTTTGTTCATAGCCATTTAATTCCAACCTTTGTGGATTACTGTATTGGACCCCAGCAAAGAAGCTGCAGGATATGCAGCACTGATTTATGATAAGGTGGGATGAAGCCAACAGACATTTGGTTTTCCTGTTATGTTGTGATATCATTTATTTTTTCTTCTCTCCTCATTCTAATTTTGAACAGGAATCATGTATTGACACTTGTAGTACAAAGTGGATGAATCTTAATCAGCGACAGATGGCAGTCTTCATGGAGGTTGGGCCATTAGCAGACAAAAAGATGGGCCACCCTACAGGCCAAGGAATGTGACTTAATATTGATATTTTGTGAATGAAATCACAATAAACTTCAGCCTGTACATAACTGCTATTCCATTTTTTTCTTCTTCTAGGGTAGGTTAGTAAACATGGTAGGGGGACTTGGTCATTTGGATCACAAATCACAAGCCTCTTTTTTCTTCAAATCATGAATCATGTTACAAAACCATCATTGAAATCACCATTGAAAACGTTAATTGTAACCATTAAGTTGGAATTTGAGCGATGACAAACAATCATAATTTTCTAGTACCGTACATTATTGTCAATTTTCAGGGTTTTTTGTCATTTAGAACACAAAAATCCCTAGTAAGAGCAGGACAGCAATCATGATACATGTATTTAAACACAATCAGTCAATCGTTCAATAAAAATTCCTTTATTTCCTAATCCATACCAAATTATTTACACATATAACAAAATGCCTACATTGTAAATTCTTCTCTTCCTTCATTTCTACCATAAAAACAGATATTTCAAATTTACATTTTAACACACAGTGAAACATGTCTGAACTACCACTAACAACAATCCTCTGATAACCCAGAAACATCTGATATATAACTTAGGCCTGTAGATTCTCATAAAAAGGTATACAAGTTTAAAACTCTAGAGTGAGAATAAAGATTCTCGCCTGGAACCTTCAACGATGGGCTTGTTGGTCTGTTGGTGTTCCAATCCATGCTTGCATGTCATTCATCTAAGATGACTGCACACTGTAACTTTGTTGCATATTTTCAGACAAATTGGCTGCATAACCTGAAAAGGATGATGAGAGATGTCATTACTTTTAAAATGTCTGTGGTAATTAACCCACAATGAAAATAACATTTTAAATTTAAAGTACATGTAAATATGTACAGTGGAACCCTGCCTTATGGTCACCTCATTAATACAGCCCATGCATTTTCAAGAAAATCCTGCTAATGCTGCCACCCTGTTGATATGGCCAACGACCACATTCTGAAAATCCTATATAATTTTACCCTGTTTATATATACAATGATAAAATTACATTAACCTACACTTACACTAATTACAATAAAGTTGCCCAAACTAAACAATACAAATAAACAGTGGTTACTTATAATAACAGGTACTTAATATTTAATTTCAATAAAGAAAAAAAATTATTTGCACTCGAGACGAAAACAGTACTTATAATTAGCTTAAACCGTATAATAACAGGTACTTAATATTTAATTTCAATAAAGAAAAAACATTATTTACACTTGAGACGAAAACAGTACTTATAATTAGCTTAAACCGTATTTTGATTTCAAGAAAGAAAAAAAATTACTTGCACTTTAGACGAAAACAGTACTTATAATTAGCTTAAACTGTATTTTGATACAGGATTTCTCTAGCTGCATTTTATTCGAATCAATAAATTTTTAAAAATGGATTTCACAATAAAAATTAACATTAAAAAACATTTTGACTATTGGACGGTCACTTTCAGGTTGAAAAATAAAATTTTTGTATGCGCTTAGATATATACAATGGATTATAAGAATGCTGATGAGACACTGACTAAAACTCTAAAATATTTACATAGGAACAATACTAGAAAATTGTGGCATGAATGATAAAGAAAACTCTAACGTGATAGAAATGATATTAAAAGTGAAATAATTAAGTAAATAGCTTCACATGGATCGAGTCACTCTATTTGTTCAGTTTTGGTTTAAGTTTTTGAATAAAAGAACATTTCAAAAATCAAACAGTCGAGTTCACTGACATTTTTTCAAAATCTGGAAATTGCTTCCAATGGTCTCCGCATCCTTTCCATGCTCATCCTTTACGTGGTTGCCAATTGTTGACCTATGGTGAATTTGAGTGATTTGGTGGGTTTTGCATTGACTTATAAGAGGAGAATTTCCTCTCTTATAGAGTGTAACAGTGAACTCAAAACCCACCAAATCACTTAAATTCGCCATTTTGAGCTGCAGAAACGACAATACACAATAACCGAGGTAGGTTTACATTTGTTTTGAGCTTTAACATAGACATTACTCAATATAAGTTTACGATGTTTGACTCGGGTTCTTGGCATAATAAACACAGCATGTCTGATTCTATACAGTAGATCAAGGAAAGCTCTTTTTTAGTCACTGTTCTGTGGAGCAGTTTGAAGTAGAATTCTTTAACCTTGTTATTTTTACAAACATTTTTGTAGTCCAAGTTTAGTAGAGTATATACAACCAGAGCAGATATACAGCCACTCAAACCAGCTATATTTGTCTTTCCATCGTGAACATTTTACACATTGATTCAAACCACTAATTATGGACATGCCAAGATGGCCACCAATTTTGGGTTCCATATGCTGATTTTTCGAACAGCAAAGAAATATTAATTTTTTGTACTTCATTCATGAGCAGTTCCAAAAGAAAACTGCAAAGTTAGCAAGCTCCACGTAATGGCAGCAGTATTAGGCTAATATCTGTAACACACTGCATAATAATAAATAGGTACACGACATAAAGATCCACTTTTGTGTTCATGAAAAATAGTGGCTTGGATATAAGCATTCTCAAAGTATATAATATTTGTGCTATCCAAATGCGTGTTGTTGTCCGTCAGTTCAGAATGCAAAAGTTTGTAACAACAAAACAATTCCTCAAGAAAAAATGTCAATTTAATAAGCAATACATTCAGTTGAACTAGTGATATTTCCACACTGGACAGGGAAGTCCATTTTAAACTTTCCTCAGTGTTATGGCATGGTTTTGTTTTACATGTACTTGTATTTGGGAAGACCCTTTGATTCCGACCTTCTTGCAATCATTTCTTGTAAGCCATTATGCTGTCTTTACCATCAGTCAAGTCCTCTTGATGCTTATTCCTTACCATTTTGAACTAATAAAGCTGTATTTTGGTTCTAAGCACTGAATTTTTCTTGGAGAAGCCCACAACACACGGCACCATGTTTGTTTTGGAAATAATTTTCACACAAACACAATGACTATCAAAGAAATCTCTGGGGAGTGGGAAAGAGGCAATTTCTTAATATTTCCAAAGGGCCACTTGTCTCACCCACCAAGTGAGGGAGTTCATTTGCTCCCTCACCCACCCTTACAAGACGTTAACAGATTTCTGTCAGTCTTTTACTATGCTGTCATATTTTGTCCAGTTGGTGAAAATCTTGACATCTGAGGGCCATGTTTTTGATCAGGAACTAGCATTTTGCATAGTTGAAGTACCTTTCCCAACATTCTAACCCCAATAGTCTTTGCACTAAAAAAGCAATAGAGCAAATTAATAGAGTCACTCATTAGTGTGACAAACAAAACTCCAGCAAGAAAAACAAGCATTTTGGCATTGTTTTCAGCACTCAAATTCTGATATTTTGGCATTGCACATGGTGGAATATTACAGTTATCAAAAAAGCTTAAGTTTTGTTTTCATTTCAGGAACAAATTATTAAGTTTCGATATTTTGATGTTTCTGATATTTTGGTGTCGCACATGGTGGCATATTACAAGTATCAAAAAAGCTTATGTTCCATTTTCATTTCAGGAAGAAATTGTTAATATCATTGACAAAATGTAAAGGTAAAGTCTGCATACGAGCCAAGTGGCCCATCAGGCCGGAGCTTATCCCGGTTTCTGTAGCATGAAGCGACTGGGAGTATTTCTACTCCCCC